ATGGGGTTCTGTCAAATTATCACCATGTATTTATGAGATTAAATATTACTTGAATTAGGACGATAAACGTCTCTCAGTATGTAGCAAATAGATGCATAAAGTCAACCAGTTATGTGAATATATCTACAATCAGCTAGGTTGTTCATTTTTTTGTTTCCATTACGTGTGAAACATCTGAACTTATACTGCAAATGAGAATCACAATCTCATTTTGATATCCTAAACCTAAGCACAGCTGTACAGTTGTCTGGTACCTGCAGTATGTAGAATAAAAAGGTTTGTTGTTTTTTATAAAAATGAGGTGACATTTTACTGAACACTCGATGTAAACTTACAGCTGTTCTTACAGTATAGGTGTAGGTCTCTAACATTTGGCTGTGTGCACAGAACTGAATGTAGTTAATGAAGTCCTTCAACAGTCACATGGAGGATATGAACAGACACAGCTGCCCAAAAGACACAGAACTTTCCTGCAGGTCATAGGTGTGTGTAGATCAGCCTCGCAGACGGCCTGGAGCCAAAGCCAGGACAACCAGAACCCAGAGTTGTAAAGCAACAGATCACACGACCAGAGCTTCAAAGAGAACGATCAGATAAGAGACACTCAAGGAGAGCCTGAGTAACCAAATGGATGATCTTTATTGCTCTATCCCTCCTCGTCTCTCTGCTCTGGACTTAAAGGAATGCGATCAGCAGACAATGTGAAAAAGCACCAGAGGATCTTAATGGGATGCTAGTATCTGATATTAGTTTAAGTGTTGTTATATGTTATGGTCTATCATATTCTGATAAATACCCCAAAGCTTAATTACAGTTGGATAAGTCCTTCTTTAATTTATCAGCTTGTTATATAATCATATATCCCCAAACCGCATTACCTTTGTAACCGTACGAGATAGATTTATCATGTTTGGACTCTTTGCGAACCGCTAGATATGATATATTTATTTTCAGTAGGTTTAACTTTGTATCATTGTAAGGACATATAGTTCTGAAGTAACATTGTTACTTTCAGAACAGAACTCTGACCACCTCATGACCACGTCATGACCCCCCCGTCATATCTAACAGCCCCTCTGGGAGGGGAGCTCGCTGTGATTGGTCAGTAGTTTTACTATTAAAAGGCATTTCACCCGAAAGACTGCGGATTTTCTGAAGGCCATAGAATCTCCCACTTTGGTCCAATGTAGCAACTCCAACTGCCACACCCTGATCCAACTCCAGCTGAAGGCCTTGTCTCCCAGACGCTGCTGCACCCGCCAAGGAAACTGCAAGTATCAAGCTTCTGTCTCTAAACGGGTGTTTCATGACTACGATTGGCCTTCTGACCAATATTCCAAATTTAACAGATTATCTGCTGCTTCGGGTGAAAAGACTTTCAAGCCTCCAAGCCATCACTCTGTTCCACATTAGGTTTTTCACACTCATATTGTCAACCAGCATTGTCTTCATTGTTTGTATTTTATATTTTATATTTGTTATTTCTTTGTTTGTTTAGTTAGTAATAAATCTTGTGTGTGTGTATACAGTTGTTTCCTGTGTTTTCTATAGACTATTTTCAGTCACTTGACGTATCTGATCTTTAGTTACCTGAGCTCTAAGTTAATTCCCTTAACTTTATAAAACACTCTTGACTGATCACCAAGAGTAAACAATTTAATAGAATTATTATGCTGACTCTGAGATTATATCGCTGGACGAATAATTCAAAGGTTGGTTTTAATCATTTTGATTAATGCAATCACTTGCTTTGGTGTGGAATTAAGTATATCTTATTTTCTAACCTACACACGTGTTTTTAAAAATTTGTCTTTTTAAATATTTATTGCTTCTGAACAACTTTGGGTAACTCTGATGTGACGCTCATGAGGATGTTTGATGCAATCCTGCTAAATGAAATGTAATTTAAACAGGATACTGTGTTTGACAGAATGATACATGTTGTATGAAATGGTGACTGGTTTATGCTTTTGGTTGTGAGTTGATCATATGTGGAGAAATGAACTTTTAGTTGTATTTTTCTGCTTTTGTCATTGTACGTGCAGACAACTGGTGCAATAACTGTATGAAATGGGGATCGTTTTTTATAAAGACTCTTATGCCATATGAACTGTGGGAAGTGTATTCACTATTAACCACATTTGAAAGTCAATAAACACAAGTTTTTCTTTAACAGGTTTATGTTTTTAATGACCTAAAATCCATAGCAAAGCCACGGTACAGAAATACATGGTTCTGCACTACAAATAAGCATGACTGCCTGCAACCCTCTGACAGACACTGACACCGTTTTACACATCTTCTGATAAACTCTTGGAACATATCTGAAGGAAATACCAAGAGAGAAACAGGATGTCCAGCGTGGGCTCCTGTTACACAGACTTGATCATCATTCTGCTGGCCTTGGCAGAGTAAGGTGCAGGAGGTCTCCAGGTGAGCCAGTGAAGGCCTGAAGCCCAACCGATGTGGTCACCAGCAGGATGCCAGTCGCCGTTCAGGCTGGCAGAGCCACACTGGCTGTACCACCAGCCGCCGCCACCTTCAAAAAGGGCACAGTCGCTTTCTGCGACGTCACCAAAGACGCATGGGGAGCAGCCGTCGTTGTCGCGGTCAGCGGTGCTGAAGCCGTAGCCATTCTGGTCAATGCCTGTATAGGCACCACGGATGGCGTCGCCTTTGGACAACACGGGAAACAATTTAAGAACATTCCAAAATTCAGAGTTTTATTTCAACATACAGAAGAGCCATTCCACCACTTAGATTCTTTTCAGTAATTTAAGTGATACAGTCATGTCTGTATTAGCCACTACTAGCTAATGGTATTTACTCTTTCTATAAAGATGCCATGTGAAGCACAAATGAGAAAACTATCAGTCTCCTGCTGCTCTGCTCTTCAGCATTTGAAGCTTCTGGATTGCTTTGCATGAAAGGTAGAGGGCGCTGTTGTTCCAGAGAAAAACACAGCTACACACAGGTCTGTTCTGACACATGGTGGCGGAAGAAGTGACGATGTAATCAAAAGACGAAGATCACTTCTAGCACAACTGACAGAGCAAAGATCTTCCAGAGAAAACCAACAGCATTACTGGGGCCTAATAAATTTTTACATTTTTAACACATCTCAACAATGAACAATAAGGTCTCCATCATACCAAGTCTTTAAACTGGATTCAATAATGATGTTGTGATTTTTCACATTTCTGCAGCCTTAGCATAAGTTTGTAAAATGCATATAGACAGAAAAACATTTGCATGTATACAAAAAGCAAAGAGCAAAAAAAGGCAGCAGTACCTGCGTCTCCATTGTAATTCCCGACATGCAGTTTGAAGGCATCTGTCTCATTCCCCAGTCGGAAATTGTTGTACTCGGCGAAAGCAGTCCCACCTTCATGGTCCCACAGGTCCACCCTCATGGTCCAGTTCTTGACTTTGCTCTTGGTCAGAAGGTAAACCTTCTTCAGCCCGAGCCAGTGATCCTCTAAAGGAAACGGCAGAGCACGAAGGAAAGGATGTACATTTTTTTTCTGATGTCTTTGCTCCGTCTGCACCAATTAACATAAATAAATAAATTCATTCTTCAGTCCGAGAAGCTAGTTGATAGTTTTTTTTAAAAATTCACAGCACCTTTCCAAGCATGCATGCTGTGTTTTCAGTGCCACTTTTCAATTTAACAAAGACCTTTCAGCGCTCAACAAACTAGACCACACAGCAGTTATCGGGTTATTTACTTACTTGTCAGAGGTCCAAAACCATGACTGTAGTCTGCCCATTTTCTTTTGAAGGAAACTGCTCGGCCACTGCGCTTCTGAAACACTGTCCAGCCTCCATCAGCAAGCATCTCACAGTACACCTGGACAAGAATCCCAGAGATGTTTTGACACACTCTCTAAATAATCAGACATGTTCTACAGGTGTCTGGAAAAGCAAGTTGTAACTAGACATTATATTTTTCGCAGTCAGAGACTAAGATTAACTAAATGTTTTACTCAACATCACAAGAGGTCTTTCGTTTAGTCGTTTCGTCATTCTTTAACTTTAGGTGCATTTAGGGGTTTAAATTGATGAGGAATATCATTTGCAAACGTTTGATACCTTGAATTTGTCCTTGACTCCAGCTGGCTGGATGACGTAAACCCCACTGCGCGCTTGTGGTTGGTTAGCCTTAATCTGTGTGCAGTCTGTTCCTAAGGTTTCAAGAAGTAGAGAAAAAAACAAGTGCAGGATGAAAAGCATTGAATACAAAATCCTACATGTATACAACAGACGTAAGTACACCCTTGTGCAGCATCACCTAAATGTGAAACGTGTAGCGGACGACAACAGGCACATTCCAAAGTAACACAGCAAAGTAGAAACTCAGTGCAACAAAAGTTAGTACAAGTTTCATGACTGAGATCTTTTATTTGTCTGTGGATGCACAATAATACTGGCTTACAGGATGACTACCAGCCTGCAGAAGCTTGGCAGAGGAGGAATATTCCAGCATGATAAACCATTTGAAGCATAACATCACACAAGACATGCTAAAGAAGAAAAGAATTGAAACTATGAGCTGATCAAGTATGTCATCTGACTTGAATCCTACAGAACATCTTTTGGGCATCTTAGAGGATTTTTTATTTTAGTTTTGACACTGAAAATTAAATATCTCTCCAGAAATGTGTGCAACACTGGTAACCTTCATGTGGAGGAGAATTCAAAAATAAAGCTGAACATAAAAAGTCATTATACTATTTGAATCTCAGTAATGAAAGCTGTACTGATTTTTGTTGCATTGAGTTACTACTGTAGGGCCTGTGTTGTCATTATCAGAGCTGCTATGATTTTAATTTTAAACAAATGCCCTTCTGTTGAACTGATGAGTACCGTACAGTGATACAGTTATGAATTATTACACATTAAACGATATTGAACATGTCTTATATTGTACGTTACTATAAATGAGCAACAGTCCATACCTTGAGAAACAGATTCTTTCTCCTGGTTCTATAAATACAGAAGAAAATGTTAAAGCAAGACATGGTCTTATGGAAAAATCACTCTAAAAAAACAGACACTAAAGAGTGCAAGACGTATTTAATATGATCTCATGTGAGTTATATGAAAGTAAGAAGGGGAGGAAGACATTAAGGTGAGGAGAAGAGGTTTATATTGTTTTCATATTTACCACAGTCTGTCCGGTGCAGCTGAAGAGAAGAACCAAGATGAGGCCACAACAGCCAACCGGACGCTTCATCTTGACCTGAGTTTAATAGTGAAAAAAACGTCATCACAGAAAGTCCAATATCTCAGAAACATCAACACTAAAGAGGAGGCACAAGACAGTTAATCTTTAATGAAAACTAGAGTGTACGATTCAGCTTTTAAAAGACTTACAGCGTTCACATTTTAGTCCTTATTCTCTTTTATAAGACTAAAGGGTCAAATGAAAGCTGTCAGGTTCAAACATTATCTTTCTCCAAACACGTACCTGCATGTTGTACGAACTTTGTATCTCTGCTCAAACTCCACAACGCCAGCAGCTCCTTTCCCTTTTAGCCGAACCACCACGCCTTCTTTATGGTGACGAGGAATGCTGTCACTTCCAGTCGGGCCGAATAACCTGAATTCTAGAGAAACACTGTGATCCTTCTGCTGCCAAGAAGAACTTACAGACTTCTGACCTTTCCCATCAGGCTACACCTCTCAGGGTAAACAGCATTCCAAGGCTGAGTCTGACCAATAAAGACATGTTGTGCTGTATTTGTCTGACAGACTGCCCGTTCTGGAACACTGAATTCACAATATTGTGCAGGCCAGTGACAAGGATTGGCATGTTCATTATTACTCATGCCTGTGACACAGATTATCTCTTTTAAAGTCAACAGAGAAACAACATTTTGTTCTTGTTTGGAATTCATTTAGATTTTTGTACAGATAGAGACTTTGGTGAGCCCATAACGCCTGAAGTTTTTGTGATAGCAGTTTTGGCACTTCATTTGGTGCAGATATTACCCAGAGGATGACTTCTAATAAACACTGTTGGTTAAGCTACTTGGAAAGTGTAGTGAGCTAAGCTAGCGGTTACTCTATCTTAAAGAAAGCTTTACTACACTGCAGAGAAATGTAGAAAACTAAGCTACAGCAATGACAACAGTACTGTACAACAACAGGAGATGCTATTTTATGTTTACTTAAAGTATTCATTTGCTGGAAAATGTATTGATAGCTAGCAGTTAGCTGTTGAAAAGTTGCTAGCTGGTGTTTGCAGACTGCACTAAGGACTGGTACGTGATGTTAAGGCCGAAGACAAAGCATTTCAATAATCAAAAGGTAGACTGGGGATGTCTAGCAGATAACGAGATCCCGTTATCTGGAGAAAACGAACGCCGTTTTCCCAAGATAACGGAATAATTATCTCGTTATCTCGAGAAAATGCCGCTTAAAAAAATGTGCGGCCATGACCACTCTTGGCTTCCGTATCACTGTGTTTGTCTGTTATATGATATATTTAACTGAAATTGCTAATCTGAACAACCAATGATTTATAAAGGAAAATCTTGAAAATGATAGGGGGTGGGCTTCCTCCCATACAGTCCAAAAACATGTTGAGGTTAATTGGTGATTCTAAATTGTCCGTAGGTGTGAATGTGAGTGTGCTTGGTTGTCTGTCTCTAAGTGTGGCCCTGTGATAGACTGGTTACCTGTCCAGGGTGTCCCCTGCCTTCGCCCTAAGTCGGCTGGGATAGGCTCCAGCCCCCGATGACCCTAGTGAGGATTAAGGTGTATAGATAATGGATGGATGGATTCAAATAGTATATGACTTTTTATCTTCAGCTTTATTTTTGAATTCTCCTCCACATGAAGGTTACCAGTGTTGCACACATTTCTGGAGAGATATTTAATTTTCAGTGTCAAAACTAAAATAAAAAATCCTCTAAGATGCCCAAAAGACTTTCTGTAGGACTTCATCAGGTCATAGTTTCAACTCTTTTCTTCCTTAGCATGTTTTGTGTGATGTTATGCTTCAAATGGTTTATCATGCTGGAATATTCCTCCTCTGCCGAGCTTCTGCAGGCTGGTAGTCATCCTGTCAGCCAGTATTATTGTGCATCCACAGACAAATAAAAGATCTTGTACTAACTTTTGTTGCACTGAGCTTCTATTTTCAGCTTTGCCTGTATTTTTAATTTAGCCTTGCTGGAGTATTTAGTTTGGCAACTTGTAAATCGAAAGTACTGCAGTTATTAACAGGTTGTACAGGTTTGAACCATTTGTGGCACAGTAACCTCATGGGAATCAGAAAAAGATGCAGCACACCTGTGGCTGCACCACAAATGTTGCATTTATCAGAGCACCACCTACATATTTTTTAATTAGGCCAGTAAAAAGAAATGGGTGAACTTGTGAACTTGTGTAACCTTTGCAGGAGAGAAGAGGGAGGCTGCTGCAGGATGTGTTGCTGTGATGATGTGCTGGATGAGTTGATTCAGGAACGCAGAGACAGGACGACGCCTTTGCATAGCTGTTTCGAAAAGTAGAACAAAGAAAAGAAAAAAAAACAAAGCCCAACTGTAGTTGTAGAAAATCATCCTTAACAAGCCCAAGTTACATTAACATCAAGTGGAAATCCTGCATTAGAAGCCCAAATTCAGATAACATGAAGTGGAAAAAGCCATAGTTACATTCCAGTGACTTTCTTTAATACAAGAAGTTTTGGAGCCAAATCTAACCAACCGTGGATGTGTCCATCCCAGGATGGTCTTGAGCTTCACTGTCCAAGAGAGGTCAGGAGCCAGACACCTTTAGAACTTATTTTTTGTTCAATCCTTAACTGTACAGATCCAGTTATTAAATGTCTATGATCATTACAG